TCCTGCTGCAGCCGTCACCTCCCAGGAGCACATGCCCGCGGTCTGGCCCTGATCCGGCAAAGACTCCCACTCGGGCTCAGCTGAGCGCCTGGGGGTTGTCCTGGTGGCTCTGCTCGACGGGAATAAAGCTAACCATGGCTGTGAGTCTCTGCAGGGTCAGGCCCTGGGACTGTACGCTCTTCAGGGCCTGGAGTCTGCAGGCAGCGTCTTGTGCAGCACCAGGAACGTGGGCAGTTCCCAGAGGATTCCCCAACCAGGTCTCCCTCTGACCTGTAACCCTGCACCATAGTGGCTCCCCAGGAGCGCATAGGGAGTTCTCTTCCTGCACCACATCCACAGCACAGGCGGAAGAGTGGGCACCGAGCCATGGTCTGAGTCTCTCTCTCCTGCCTGGCAGTGGGCAGCCTTCGCGACAGAGACACTGAGGTGAGCCACCCCATTAATTACGTTGGAAAGGACCAGACTGAAAACAAGGAATCCTGGAACTGACAGGACCTCGCGAGGTTATCGAGTCCAGTGCCCTGTCCTCATGGCAGGGCCAAGCACCGGCCAGACCCTCCCTGCCAGCTGTTTGTCTCGCGAAGGAAGAAGGAAGGGTTCTTTTTCCTTTGCCTGGGAAATGGGCTCGCGATCTGTGCTTTCTAGGCTACGTGACGGTGATTCCCACTTCTGTGCGTGACAGGGCTAGGTGACCGTAGCAGAGCTTAGCTCTCAAGCCCAGTCTGGCTGGCTGTACAGGCCGGGGGCACAGAGAGCCGGGCAATGAATGGAAGAAGGTGCCTCTGTGGATCCTGGCAAGGAACGCTGACGCAGCAGTTCCACACAAATAGGCTTCAATTATTCATAGAGCTGTATTGATTGAACACTGCCCACAGGCGTGCACCGCGCATTATAAAATATTAAACACAAGAGCCAGCTGCCTTGCAAAGCCTGGAGCAAGGACCTTGTTCCTGTAGGTGCTGCTTTCCTGCAGGTCGGGACTGAACGTGCTAGATGAACTGGAGCAAAGCTGAGCCGCAGCAGATTGTCCCGAGAACCGGTCGGATCATCCCAGACGAGGAAGCGGGATGGAGAAGCAGCTGCACTGTCGCCAGTTTTGCTTTCAGAGGCTACTTTTTTCACCAGATGTTTGCAGAGATGAGGAGTCCAATCCAGTGCCCACTGGAGTCCGTGGAAGGAGCTTCATTGTATTTCTGCCTCCTGGCATGCTAGTCAGACCCATGCTTTCTCTTCCCAATGTCAGGGCTCCAGGGGGGTTTACAGCACTGGGATATTGGCGATGACAGCGTGGCTCCAATGTCTGCTGCTGGAACCCGGGGAAAACATATTCACATAATCAAAACAGGTTAAGCCAGGGGCAATTTTTTAAATTTTGCAAAACCTTGCTTGGTAGGCTTTTATTTTGCAGATTTAAACGGGTATTTGGTTCTTGGTCCCATTTTGCTGAACCTACACCATGTGGGAACCAATGTGGATTTGAATATGTGGCTATGGTTTTGGCCCATCTCTAAACTGACCATACGGAAAAATATTCTGAGCAGTTTTAGCAAATTTCAGCTAACTTATTCTACAGTTTGCTCAAAGGAAATGAGCGAGGGTGTGGATTTAAAGTTGCTTTCAACAACAAAATGCAACTGAAAGAAAACTTAGTGGAACAGCAATCAAGCCTAAGCTACTAAGACTTGTTAGATTTGTTTCCCTCAATTTTGCCTAGGACACAGTCTCTCAAAATGATCTTCCACAATGACCTATTTTCTTTCCTAGCAAGGAAAACCAGACTCCCTAAACTAGCAAACAAAGCCAATACCTGCCCATTAATGCAGGGACTAAGGACATGTCTTCACTAAATGGAAGATTACTGCTGCCATGATCAATCTTCCAGAGTTTGATTTAGCAGGTCTAGTTAAGATCCGCTAAATCGAACTTGGAGGGTGCTCTCATTGGCGGACAGTTGTGATGTTACGGAATAACGAGCCCCAAATCAGCTCTGTGCAGCCCCAGTTCTTTTCTGAAGGGGACTCAGATGCTGGTCGTTTGAAGATACGTCTCACTGCAGACTTGCATAAAGCACACAAGATTACGGAGCCACCTAAACAAGAGCATTGAGTGGCAGGGCTGTTGAAGAAGAGACGGGTTTTTCTTCTAACGTCTCCACAGCTGAGTGAGAGTAGAACCAAGTCATTCTGAGTTGCTTAATCATAATCCTCCAGAGTCCGTGCATTGTTTTCGCTCACCATGAAGTTGCAGGGGGATGAGCTGTAAACCCAGACCTCTTAAAGCTAAGCGTGAAAAGGCTCCATATTAATTAATGAAGAAAAGCGACTTTTTAAAGTCAGGGTGGCGGGTTCGAGTCCTGGGTCCCCTCCCCCCCAAACCACCCCATGGGCAGGTGGGATAAAGGGCGTCTTGAGAGCAAGGCGGTGGGGCGGGTTCCAGCGTGGCCTAGGGGATGGGGTGTTCGCCTGGGGAGGGCAGGATGGCGGGTTTCATTGCTGCTAAAGCGGGCCTGTTTGATACCGTCATTTGATCTGTGTCTCCAGCGGGTGGCACCACGGTGAGTTGGTCTCTGTGTGTTTTCAATATTGCACCATGTTTTCTCCTCTTTAGAGAATAAATACATGACGGTGGTAGAGAACACTCACCTCCAGTACACCCTGCGGCGGCACCCGCCCCTCGAGGCCACGTACCACCTCTTCCCTGAGAACACGCTGGTGTCTGGGCTGGAGAAGATCCCTGGCTTGCTACCAACACATGGGGAAACAAGTAAGGGTTCCTTTCATCCTGATTCCTGCACGTGCAAGTCACACCACAGGGCAGGACGGTGGCCCCAAGCAAGGTGCTCGCGAGTTGCTCTGGACTCTGCCCGCTTGTCTGTCTGTGGGCACTTGGATTGGTATGGCCCGGGCTGCGGCTGCAGCTGGGTCCTCTCTTACCGGCAGAGCCAAGCCTGTGAGCTCTCTAAGGCCCCAGGCCACCCCCACCAGTCAGTAATTGCGGGAGGGAGGAGGGAGCCCTGAACCACACACCTGCCAGCGTGACCATTGCAGGACGGGAAGCGAGGAGCCAACCACGGGTCGGGCGAGGGACGGTGGGGATGGCGAGGAGGGAGGGGGTGCTGAAGAGCACTGGGGAGGGGTCATTGCAGAACAGCTGGTGCGCAGAATGCACAGTCCGGGACAAAGGTATTTCTAGAGGGAGCCTGATTCTCCCGGCCACTGCCCCGTCACAAAGCGGGACCAGCTCCATGGAGGCCAATGGGCTCATGCTGTTGTGAGCCAAAGGAGAGACAGAGCCCCCCTCCCCCAGTTTAAGTTTACCCCCATCGTTTAGGGCCGGTTTGTGGGCCGAGCCAAACGCACCGGCTGCTTCTCAGGACAATGCCATTGGTGTGGTCTGGCACCAGCTATGGGGCACAAGAAAGGCCTGGCCCCAGGGGCGTCCGGTGGCTTAGGCGAGGGAAGGCTCTGCCTTCCCAAACTGCCAGCCTGGCCCCACCGCACGCCGCCCCCTGCGTGCCTACTGTAGGTGTTCTGGGGGCGGAGTGTGGCTGCCCCAAAGGCTCGCCTGCCCTGTGCTCCTGGCTGGGGAGGCTGGAACCATCTCCTCCCCTCCCCAGTGCTCCGGGAGCCGTGCTGCGTGTACCCTCCCCTTCCTCTCTACTCCTTCCCAGAGGTCCAGGGAGTCTGGGGAGCACTCGGCACACTGCCCTGCCCCCTCCTCTTCCCATGGGGGCGGGGCCTCGGCAGAGGGGGCGGGGCTGTAGGTGGGGCTAGGGCACCTGGAGGAATGGGAGCCACGCAGAAGGCAAAAGGGAGAGCAGCAGGGAAACTGGATCGTTTTCCCCACCCCAGGACTGATACTTTCAGGGGAAGCGGAAGCGTAGTGAGCTGGACAGGTCAGGCCGGTGCTGTTACACACAGAGTAGTGTTTTCCAGGGGCTCGTTCCAAGACTGCGCTCGTCAGGGTGTTTCCAATGGGAAGACAAAAACAACGAGGAGTCCCGGGGCACCTTGGAGGCCAACAGATTCATTAGGGCACAAGCTTTTGTGGGTAAAAGCCACTCCATCAGATGCCTGGATTTCCAGGCCACTGTGGCCTTATTAGACAGACATTTGCTTTCCTCCCCTCCCCCAGTGCCGACTAGATGCAGGCCGGCCTACCGTGAGGCGCAGCGTGCGCTGTCGCTGGGACAGTGCCAGTCGTTGGGGCTGCCAGCGAGAGAGCTGGCCACTAAAACACTGTGCTCGCCCGTGCAGGAAGCACCGCGACACCTCATCTGAGAAATAAACAGGAGGAGCAGGATTCCCATCCGCGCGCTCTCAGTGGCCAGCTGAGGCTACGTCGACCCTGCAGTGTTATTTCGGAAGAAGCTATTCTGGAATAGTGATTCCGAAATAGCTTATTTTGAAATAGCACGTCTACACTGCAGGGAAGCCTCAAAAGGAGTCCGAGGCCGGCTTCCCTAATGGAGACGTGCTCTCTCGATTTAGAGCCCCAGGAAGAATACTCAGAATGGCCCTAGTGGGGGCTATTTCGGAATAGAGGCTGTGTAGACTCCCTATTGCTGTTATTTTGGAATAGGCATTATTCTTTGTAGAATGAGGTTTACAGAAGCCAGAACAAGCCATCTGTTATTTCGAAATAGCGGAATTGCTGTGTGGATGCTCACATAGTTATTCCGATATAACTCTGATGTGTATCATAGAATCCTAGGACTGGAAGGGACCTCGAGAGGTCATCAAGTCCAGTCCCCTGCCCTCACGGCAGGACCAAATACTGCCTAGACCATCCCTGATAGACATTTATCTAACCTACTCCTAAATATCTCCAGAGATGGAGATTCCACAACCTCCCTGGGCAATTTATTTCAATGTCTTGCCTACCCTGACAGGAAGTTTTTCCTAATGTCCAACCTAAACCTCCCTTGCTGCAGTTTAAGCCCATTGCTTCTTGTTCTATCCTCAGAGGCCAAGATGAACAAGTTTTCTCCCTCCTCTGTATGACACCCTTTTAGATACCTGAAAACGGCTCTCATGTCCCCCCTCAATCTTCTCTTTTCTAAACTAAACAAGCCCAATTCTTTCAGCCTTCCTTCATAGGTCATGTTCTCTAGACCTTTCATCATTCTTGTTGCTCTTCTCTGGACCTTCTCCAATTTCTCCACATCTTTCTTGAAATGGGGTGCCCAGAACTGGACACAATACTCCAACTGAGGCCTAACCAGCGCAGAGTAGAGTGGAAGAATGACTTCTCGTGTCTTGCTCACCACACACCTGTTAGACACCCCCAAGTGAGAATCCCAGAGGCTCGTCTCTTGGCTGAGGTGTAGCCGGCCCTGTCATGTGCTAAAAAACCCACTTGTGGACTGGTCGGTGGTACCTGTGCCTCAGTAGCCATTGTCCTGTGCCCGGTGGATGTTTCCTCCGGTTTCTTATGGGCGCTAAATGCAGGGCGCAATGCTGGGTCACGGTGTGTTTTGCTGCTCTGAAAGCAGTCGCTCTGAGGACAGAGTGTTCTTCGATGCCCTTGCCCAGAGAGGAGGCGGTTCGGGAGCTCTCCCATGTAACGTGGCAAGCTACAGAGCAGCCGGGAAGTGTTTGTTATCCCTGCCACGGATCACGGAAGCTTGGACCGTCCCTGGATATATCTGTGGGGGGGACCCCACTGTTCCCCCCAGTGTGCTGCTTCTTTTGGGAGGACAGTGGGGTTTGCTACCTCTCCCATGGATAGGCCAAGAAAGGCAGCCAAAAGAACGGCCAGACCGGGTCAGACCTTTTTTGACACACTTCATGAGTCCCACCAGCTACTGTCTGAGACCCGAGCCCTCTGCTCAGCGCCTCCTGTCTGCCCCCGGTGTGGGTCAGTGTCCCGGCAGCCTGGCTCTGTTAGACTCTCCTGCCCACTACAGCCGTGGGCCACACGGGCTGGGACAGGGAATGTAACCCTGGTCTCTCATTCGTCACTGACCCCCTACGGGGCGGGGAAGTGGGACTTTGTACGGCCCTATCTCTGCCCTGTCTGCTCTCCGCCTCCCCACCTCCCCCCGGGCAGACCAACCCTTACGTGGCCCAGGCAGGGGATGGTGCCATGTAGGCAGCTGAGTCCTCCTGCCCTGTAGGAAGGGTTGTGGGTGGAGAACCACATTAGCGAGCTTGGGGTGGGTAATTCAGGCCAGTTTCAGAGCCCTTGCTCTTCCCGCTGCCAGGCGAGAGGCTAACGCCGCCCACGCGGGTTCAAATGTGGGTGCCGATTTCCTTTCTCCTTTTCATGCCCCTGGAATCTCAGCAGAGACGGGAGCGACTGACAGCTGGTGCCCTCCCCCGATGCAGACAGGCAGCCCTGCTTCCTGCCGGAGCTGGTTTCCTGCTCCGGCTCCCCGGCTGCAGGGCACATTAGCTCTGCTTGGGCGGTGGCAGAAGAGCCTGCCAGCACACAGCACAATCAATTATTCACATCTCACTGCTGCAGCGCAGCCGCGGCAAGCCAGTCGAGACGCTGCGCTCGTATTTTAGAGTGGGCCGAATGTCGGAACGGCTCAGGCGGAGCGTACGAACCAACGGCTGCGTGAGCCGCAGGTGCCTGTGCTAGTTTGAATGGGCCACGTGATGTTATTGGATGGTGAATGACACAGGGAAATCATTGGCCAAAAAAGACCTCGTGGCTTACAGCGTGCCTGAGTGCCTCATGATGTTACAGCAAGATCCTGTTTATTGCTAGACACTAAAGCCATGTCCTTTATTGCCCGGCCTCCTTTCAGACGGGCGCTTTACCTGGCGTGTTGATCCAAGTGTTGTTAGTGACAATAGCACTGGGTGTGACTATCTACGCAGGAGAGGTTGTTCTGCATCTGTCCCTTCCTTATGGAAATGGCTCTGATAACTACTGGGACAATTCAGGCAAATGAAATTGCAGAATGAGGCCCGTGGGGAAAAGGCACCTTAGAGATTAATGTCCAGAGGTGTTTAGTTTTAATTTAGGGCTGTGCATCTGGCTTTTGTAGACCTGTCCTGACTGACACAATTAGGCTGTGTCTACACTGGCATGAATTTCCGGAACTGCTTAAAACGGAATACTAATCCGGTTTTCAGTTTTTCCGGAAAAGGAGCGTCTACATTGGCAGGCTGCTTTTCCGGAAAAGCCCTTTTTCAGGAAAAGCATCTGTGGCCAATGTAGACGCGCTTTTCCGGAAAAGAGCCCTGATCGCCATTTTCGCGATCGGGGCTTTTTTCCGGAAAAGACTACTGAGCTGTCTACACTGGCCCTTTTCCGGAACAGTGTTCCGGAATAAGGACTTATGCCTGAGCGGGAGCAGAATAGTTTTTCCGGAATAGCGGCTGATTTTGTACAGTAGAGCATCGTTGCTTTTCCGGAAATTCAAGGGCCAGTGTAGACAGCTCACAGCTTATTCCGGAAAAGCGGCTGATTTTCCGGAATAAGTGGCCCAGTGTAGACACAGCCTTACAGAACAGAGAAGGGAAGAACAACCAGGAGGGGTCAGACCAAGGGTCCATCTAGCTCAGTGTCCTGTCTGCTGACAGTGGCCAATGGCAGGTGCCTCAGGGGTAGGATCACTTGATGATTCCCTATTCTGTTCACTCCCTCTGTCGCCCATTCCCAGCCTCTGACACACAGAAGTCAGGGCCATCCTGGCTAATGGACTTAACCTCCAGGAATTTATCTAGCTCTTTTTTGAACGAGTTATAGTCCTGGCCTTCTGGCGAGGAGTTCCACGAGTTGACTGTGTGCTGTGTGAGGAAAAACTT